GAAATATACTTATTTAAAAATGAGGTATTTAATCGCAAAATTATTGTTGGTCGGTCATTTTTGCTAGGTGAGTGTACGTATTTCAAATGTCAAAATTTAATTCATAGAAGGGCATTTTGTTATTTTTACAATGATGATTATTTTATTTTATTATTTTTTGGGGTGAAAATAAATTGGACATGATTCTCATAACTATAAACGTATTCTAAACGTTTCCTGTAATCGATCAATATTAATTTAATGTTTCATAAATCTCTGCAAAAAATTTTTTTTTAAAAAAAAAAACTTACATATAAAAATTTAATATCTTGCCAAGTACCGGAACATACTTCCTTTGAATTAATTACTTCCTATAGAAAAAAAAAAATTTTGCCGCATATTAGTCACGCAAGTATAAACTAATGTGTCTTGCTTATTAAGTATATGCGTCTTTTATTTAACATTACCAACAAAAATCTCAGATATCGTCTAGCATTAATTAATATCGTTTGGAAATCAAACGTTTCCTTTAAGCAGGAATATATACGATGAGATAAACATTATGCGCTACGGTTATATTTTTTCATTTATATTAGATACTTACGATTATGTGTTTGATCGATCTCCATACAGTTGTACACATTCCTCTTATATCAAGAACTTCTAATAAGAATTTGAAGTCTTGCCAAACACCATAACAAATTGATTTAATATCCAATTCCTCCTATACATAAGATAAATTATGAGACAAGGCGTGTTGAATAATCAATTAGGAAAATAAAGAAGGTAACTTACTATTTTAAATTTAAGATCTTGTAACGTTACAAATAATAAATTCTTCACGAATATAGAAAGTTGCCAAAAATGATTTTTAATGATCTCATTTTCGGTAACATTTTCTAAGAGTGGTACAACTTGAACAATTTTATCATCACATTTCTCATAGATAAATTTAACACTTTCATCTTTACTAGCTTCGAAAACCAAATCCTCAACTTTATATATAACTTTATTAATGTCAATATTATCAACTCCAACAAACCAATAAAGATTTTGTGCATTCATTGATTCATTAACTGATACTAGAGTGTGTCCCCATCCCGGAACATCAAAAGCTATTTTCTTCTCATCATGAACTGTGCTTGTAATTTGTGAATTTTGTGAATACTCCATAACATTTATTAGTAAAGACGAATTTTTTTTTTCTTTTTTGGTTCCTTTATATATTGGTCAAAACAAATTGACAGCCACAAATAATAATGCTTAGTTAATATTGTCATTTTTATTATAGTTTGCCACGCGATTTTTTAAAACTTTCTCACACTTTACATATTTGATAATATTTTGTGATGATCAATTACATCATTTTTCATTTAGGCTAGGTTACAACATCTTGCATGCATTTATCGCTTTGATATATTGTTTCTTTGCTCTATTTATAATCATGTGGTTACAAATTACTCTTCTGATTCTTCTACCGAGAGTTCCTCTCCTTTGTCATCTTCGTTTTCTTCCTCTTCTACATTTAATACTTCTTTTGTCCAAATTTTCATACGCGCATTTAAAGATTTTATCGATACTGGTCTATAAAATAAGTTAAACACATTAAATATTGACAGAAAATTAATCACTTTCAAACGATTTGATATTGTTTAGATTTCCGTGCATACTTTGACAAAAATTCGTTACATCCAGCCGCTTCCTAAAAATATTCATTATAGAAAGGACATTACCATTTGTCTTAATAAAAAATAAATAAATAATAAATAAAGTTTAAACATTATACCGCAATTTGGCTATCCTCCTATTTATGTGTCAATTAATTTAAGTTCGAGAATTAATACACATTCATTAAAAAAAAAAAAAAAAAAAAAGAGGGTGATAGAGAGAGAGAGAGCCTTAGTTGTGTAATTTCTCATACTTTTGAAGCAAGTCCAGTCATTGCAACTATTATAGCCTTTTTTCTTCGTTTTTTTCGTCGACTACCAATATTATGTTGTTCTGTAGATTCTGATGTTAAATCTCGACTTCTTGGAATAGGTGCTGCTAAATATGATTCTTCTCCACGCTCAATTTTCCGTATCTTTTTTTTTTTTTTTTGTTTTGTTGTTTTAAAGAGAATTTGATTAATCAAGAATCAAAATTATGAATCGTAATGATTAAAACGCGTAAAAGGATAGACTTACTTCTTTCGTTGCTTCTATCTATTGAAAAAACATGAGAAAACTTCAATGTTAAAATCTTACACGTAGATAAAGCAAATGAAATAAAATAACCTACACCATCGCATATTGGCATTTGAAGGTCCTGTAAAATACATCAGTAAAGATTATATAATTCGAATTAATCATTTTAAGAATTAACCTTTTCACATACCATAAATATTATATCATATGATTTCTGTGAAAACATTTTAACAGCTATATTAAAAGGAATGTCACGTAAATAATTAAAAACTTTATTCCTTATTTTTTTTTTAAAAAAAAAAAAGTTGTATCAATTCAACCTTCAAGTCCATTATTTGCTACATCGTAATTATAGTACCCTGATTGTTTTAACATCGTTATTAAAATCATCTCATTGATCTTATTATCCTATCATAAATAAATAAAAAATATATGAGAAATTTTTTAATACGAAAAACGAATTATAAAATAAACATTCACCTCAACGATTAAAAATGATATATTTTTGGGATCTTCATTCTTTTCACTAACCGGTTCTAATCTAACTTTATTTTTGTCTTTATTCGTTCTCTCTAATTGTTTTTTTTGCTCTTTACGTTCATAGATTATCTCTTTATCCATCCCGAATAAAATTCCTTCAGCTAATACGGGTGGTGTAAGTCTGCTTGGACTTATTGCTAATTCACCAATATCCATTGGTCCAATCTTATTAATGTTTGAGTCTTTAATGAAATTAATATATTCTTCCCGAATTAATCTTTCCTTTTCTTCTTGAACTTTCATTACATTATAATATTCGTTTATTGATGACTCTTCAGATTTCTTAAGTAAAGATTCCATAGCCCTTATGATAGCTGATAAAAGTTTAACGGGACCTGCAGGTTTCGTTACTATTATAACGCTTTGCGGTTTATATTTCTTTAAAATCTTTTCTGTTTCCTGATAATTTCCTATTGTAGCAAAAAATAATACGCGTTGTTGTAGTAATCCTGTATCTTCAATACATTCCACTTCAACTTGGTTTTCTTTTGCGGATTCTTTACTGTTCGAATGATTCGGCATTTGTTGATACTGCGTAAACTCGTTCAAAAACCATTCTAAATCGCTAATGCTATCATTCAAGATAACAAGGTCAGCATGTTTCGACTCTGTGCATTCAATTTTCAATTCATCTTTACTCTTTAATCTATAATCAACTTCCCATTGATCCAAGTAATACGTTATTCTTTGTGAGAATAGAAAGTCCGTTGTATTTAATGCGACATATGATAAGGATCGAAGCTTTTTTGTTAATGTTTCTTGTTCCGATGATGAAAGTTTTAGATATTTATGATCGAATGGAAGAGGAGAAGCGTACAAATCATCCAGTCGATCTGACATTGGTAATTCAAATATAAAAGAAAATTTACTGCCTTGTCCAAGTTTGGAGTCAACTTCAAGTCGACTATGCATCATGTCAAGAAGTCCTAGAATTTTTTTTTTTTTAAAAAAAAAAAAAGAAATTAGAGATGTAACATAATCAAAACAATGAGAATATAATGTTACCCTTTACGATGCTAAGGCCTAGTCCAGTTCCTTCAAATTTTCTCCGTAAAGAAGAATCTTCCTATGTAACACGCAAATTTAAGGAAATGTCAATATACCGTTTACTTTAAAAGAAAAAATAATAATGAATATGATTAGCCAACCTGCGAAAATGGTTGATACATATGATTGATGAATTCGGGTGCGATACCACGCCCCGAATCAATTACTTCAATACAAAATTTAACCTTAGGAACATCTTGAGTATTATCGGTTTGTTTGGATTCTGAAGTAGGTTGTTTAAAAGAATTTATTGTTTCAGAATATGAATTTATGGAGCTTAGTTGTTTTGAATTCCCAACTTCTTGTGATGGAACTATGCCTTCGTCGTCGGATATTTCAATTATAATTAAATCAATACTTCCTTTATCAGTAAATTTTATCTAACAAAATTTTTTGCATATTAAAAAATTGAATGGAATTTCAGCAAATTCGACAAAAAAAGTAATATACCGAATTTCCGAGAAGCTAGAAATGAAATTAGAGAATGTTAGATCACCAATCATTATAAAATTCAGGTCTCGTATATATGATAAAAAAAAAAGGAATTATATATTTATTTAATATATTAAATAGTTACGTTCAAAATAATTTGACGCAAAACTCCAACGTCTCCTACAAGAAACCTATGTAACGGACTCATTTTCACACCAACAAAAAAATCCACATTTTTTCTCTCAGGTATAGGCGCCAATCCTAAAAAATAAATAAAGGTTTAGAAAGTTAAATCATTGATACAATACATACAGATCAATCATTTAAGCGCACATCCTTACCGTCTCCTATTTCTTGCAAAACGGAATAAATATCAAAGACACTTTGCTCCTAACCAAAATTAAAGTAAAAAGGAATCATATATGTATATTTTAAGATACAATTTGTTAAAATAAAATTTCTTAACGGATTTCACCTATATGTCCCTATCTAATTTAAGTCTTACCAGCTCCATTTTACCGTGTTCAATCCTTGCATAAGTCAAAACTTGGTTTACTACCTGTATTGAAATGTGAATAAGTAAAAAACATGGTAATGCGTACTAAGATTAACTTTGTACAATACCGAAATCAAATTTGTTCCGCAACTTTCGATGGCATTAAGTAATGCGCGTTGAGATTCGTTTAATTTGGTCTTTGCTAAAATTTCAACCGTGGCAAGTATTCCTATGTAATAACGAGTTAATGATCTATATTAGGTAAAGGCATCTAACTTTATTTTTCACATACCGTGTAACGGCTTTACATGATAAGATAATTCATAATGGTTATATTCATATTGATAAGTTAGGAATGTTTAAAACGATTTAGACCAACAAATCTTCACTTACTGTTCTTAGTTCTAAATAATAATTGAAATAAAAAGAAACGAAAATAAAATGGTTAAAAAGTTTAAAATCAAATTTAATTTAATGTATATGTTTTATCCATCCATAGTTGTTGAATTGTGTCTTTACCATGACTAACGTTCGAAATGAACAATGATTTGGCGGTCGTTGCAGATTTCGCCTATTACAAACAAAAGAAGAATATTGGTCGAAAGAAACTCAATATAAATATATTAATTACACTTACTTCATCTAATGATTTCTGCAATCGCTCTTGGTTGGTTTGATATTCTTGTTCGTAAGCTACCTAAAAAGTCACGTGAAATTCGACAAATTTGATTCAAAAGTAATGACGTATCAAAAATACTTACAAATAAAAAATATACTAGGCATATTATATAAACATCACAGACGACCCAACCGGATGATGATAATGAAATTGGGTTCACCTCCCCTCCAATCGACCTAATATTTAACGAAACCGTAAGAACGAACTTGTTAATATCTCTTTATTAAAAGTATTCACCTATTCGTATCCAATAAGATGAGAACATATTCTTACCGGAAAAAAGCTGTGGTATATATGATGCATACTAAGATCGTGGTTTGCTTGCCAAAGTTTTTAGAAACAAAGATATAACTTTATATAATTAAAGAAATTAAGCGGTTAACGTGATATATTAAAGTACATGGAGCATCATGAGCTTACCTAAATGGCGGCACGGCAAAAAAGTTTGCGTGGCTTAATGCCTGAAACCCTGGTACGAAGAAGATGATAAATTATTGTGCATCATTCAACAATAAAATTTTAAATTTAAACGATTACCATTCCCTAAATAAGAGATATAAGCCGATATCGACAAGAAAAAGTAAATTCCAATTCTTGCAGCTTGAGATATTGTGATTCTTTCCGAGGGAATAAAATATAATATTGCTAAAAGGAGATTGTCGAAAAAAAAAAATATTACAGAAAAAAACTTTAAATTTTATATGGTTCGCAGTAATCTGAGGCGCAGTATTTATCAATTACAACTGGATGCCGCGCGGTTTCAATATTTTTTCGAATGAATTAGATTCGATACCCAAGAAACGCGGAACTCCGCATCAGCTGTAATCACCATCAATGAATTCGTAAATACCTGTAAAAATTAGAACTCCAGTCAATGAAACAGGCGTAGAAATAGAAGGAAACGAATAGCCATTTATGATTTCACTCGTATTTTTGAATGATATGAAAAGTTCCGTAAAGAGTTGTGTAATAAGAGCTGCTAACGCTGAAACCGTAACAGTGACTACCGCGCGTGCTTGCAATAAATTACGTCGAGCCAAATGATTTGTTTCATGATCTATTTCGCGTGTCATAAAGCATAATTCATTAATAAAATGGGGTTGATTTTGATCTAAATTATTTCATTTTTTGGAAGGTATGCATGAATTTTTTTTTTTTTTTTAAGAAAATGTTTTGTCAAGAATTCAATAAATAATGGTAAAATTGCATTGTTCATGATTCATCATTGAAAAGTTCAAGTAATTGATAAAGGCCCAACGAATAAAAAAAAATGCAAAAAGAAAAAAGGTGAAACGCAATTCTCAAGCAGTATCGTAATTTGTTTTTCTTCGAAACATTGCAAAAAATACCTTGATTCACTATATTTTTGGGTATCAACCAATCAAGTATGGTATAATAATCTTGCAGCATTTTCCGTAATAAAAAGCACAAGATAAAAAATTTATTAATGAGATTTTCGGTTGGTATTTGTACAAGAAATTTAGGATCAAAATCGTAAAAAAATATCAATCGCAAAAAAAAAAAAAATTGGTTCAAATGATATATAGTAATAAATATAATTGATAAAATATATACAATGACATCATAATGATCTCATTGTACATTTATATTTTCGGATTAGCGTTACATTGGTTGCATAATTCCTTTCTTGATTTGGTTGGGCTTAATATAATAATATAATAAATAATTTATTTAGGAATTCTGTTGATCGAAGCAAGAGGATTTCTTTTAAAGGCATTTAATCAAACTTTTTGTCAACTAAACAAACACGCGAGATCTCAAATGTCAAAATCTAATCTGAGTCATGTGATATACTGCGGTTCACGGGTTTTCTTTCAGCCAAGATCAAAACGCTTTCCCAACTAATGCGTAATAATACATCGTGATCTTTCCATCCGGTAAGTTGTTTTAGATCGATGATGTAATTATCGACGGGATCTGGTGAATTTGGATTTGCTTTCAAATAATTTTTGTAGGCGCTCCATGTCTAGCAAAAGCAATATTATTTCCCGGTTAAAATCTCAAATTCGAATAAAAATTTTTGAGGCATTTAATTAATTACCTTCATATATTTTGTAAATTGAGGAATGGTCCAACAGACTTCCAATAATGGTTCAACATCGGAATTTTCATCACCCTTATAAATTTCCCATTTAATATTTTGAAACATCTCTTCGGGAAATTTAAAATCCTTATATAAATTACTTATAGTGTCTACTCCTTTATCCCAATAAGGACCTAACTTATCCTCATCAGTAACTAAATTTCTCATGAGTTGTCTGACAATTGGATAGTCTTTTAAAACGTTAATACTATAACCCCAAATCGCCAAGGTTCCATGAGGTTTTAATACACGAAAAGATTCTTTGTAAAATTTCTCCATCTCGAACCAATGAGCCGCCTGTGCTGCTGTAATTAAATCAATTGAATTGGAACGGAATTGAGACAAATCCTCCGCGGTGGAGATTGAATAAGCAATATTTGATTTTTGAATTGCATTTTGAAGCATTGTGGAAGAGATGTCAGTTGCATAAACTTTGTCAAATGAATTAGATAATTCAGATGAAACTTGTCCAGTTCCCGTGGCAATGTCAAGTGCGGTGTTAAATTTACCATTATGAGATTTATGAAATGAAAATATTTTATCATATAAATTCTGACCATAGCTATAAATATGATGTGTTATTAGAATGATATTAATTTGACACAAAGTAAATTATTATCACTTACTTGGGGCGAAATGCGTTATAAGCAGAGCTATTGTAATCTGTATGTGCGAATGTTGACATTTTCGATTGATATCTGAAATTTTGATCTTTATTTTTTTTAAAAAAAAAAAAAATAAGCGATTATCATAATTTGTGCACTTGTTTAAAAAATAAATGCTTCATACTTGAGATCACACGATATTTGACGTTGAATAGATAATACGCGGATCGATATTCGAGGCGTACAGCACGCATTTTTCTTGGAAATGAATTTTAAAAAGAATCAATTTATAATTGTCTTTCAATTAGTTCTCGGGATACGGAAATACAGATCATCAAAAAATTGATTATAAAATTGTATTTATAAAAAGTTGATAAGGCAGCCCATTTTCATTTTTAAAATGAATCAATTTATCATTGTTCTTTCAATAGTTCTCGGGATACGGAAATACAAATCATCAAAAAATTACAGATTACAAAATTGTATTTATAAAAAGTTGATCATAAGGCAGTCCATTTTCATTTTTTAAAAAGAATCAATTTACAATTGTTCTACGGAAATAGATTAGCAGCCCATTTTCATTTTCGTAAAAAAAGATGATAAATTTTTTTTTTGACTTAAAAGTTTCCTAAACAATGACTAAGATTTAATCATTTCGGTTTCGGCTAAACTAAGAAATATAAATTTTGCAACTTATGTCATGCCGATCGATCTTTAATGAACTATAATACGAACAGCTTAGTATCTATTCTCAAATTCTCCAGGGACTAAGCAATTTCTTTTGCTAATACATTAACAATGCCATGCATACACACATAAATCAGTCATTAGATGATCGGAAATTATTTAGGTAGATAACTCCAAACTTTTGAAAATAAAAAGTTCTTTTTCACATGAAAGAACATTGCGTATCTGGTAGAACGAAAACCAGCCGTTCAAACATAATACCGTAATGATATTATCTCACTTTGCTATGACGCTCGTGATCCAAAAATCATCATTCATGGAAATCAAAGTTCAAGAATAAATATATAAGTTAATTTATACATGATTTTTCATTGCTTTGCGGAACCCAATATACGATATAACCTAGCTTAATATACCTGACGATATGTATTTGTTTTACTTCAGAAAAAAACGTGAGATTTCAGAGATTAAACAAAATAGTTTGAAAGAATCTTAGTAACCAAAATAAGAATAAGTGATTACTTATCGTATTCTTCTTGTTGCTGCCTATAAAAAAGGCTATGTTAAAATTGATTACGAAATACACAATACATATTTCCCTTCTACAAATGATATCGTAATTGTAATGTAACTATGAACTGGTACCAATCATTTATATTTATATTTTATAGCGTTCCAAAAAGTTTAATAACAAGATTAGTTCGGGTTTAAGACTTTAAGATTAGGCATGCATGGCATGAAATTAGAATTTAGAAAGCTCGTTTAAACTTTTTTTATATAATTATTATTATTCTGTAAATAATCATTTAATAAATTCGAAATATTATATAAATTTTTAAATAAAAAATAATTTAAAACATTCTACTTCTTTTAATAAAGTTTGTTAAACACAAAATTCTCGTGATTTAAGTGTATAATCAATCATACATGTAAATATTCTTTAAGACTGATTTCAATTTAATAATATCATTAATTTGATTGAACTAATCTAAAAAAATTATATTTGATGTTTAAGATAATGTAAATATAATGAAGATTTCTTTACTTAATTCTTTAGTTTACTTATTAGATGACTATTATTTTTTATAATCTATAAAGTTTATTCATTCATTATTTTAAAATTAACTTTTTTTTATCAAATATAAAAGCATGTTAATTTTATGCTAAACTTTATTAGAAATTTTCTTTAAATACTTGTTTTTTATCAAATTCTTTAAATATAAATAGTACAAAAGATTTTAAAATTTTTTTTGTTTATATAAAGCATTTTTATCAACAATAATAACATAAATTTACAAACTATCCTTTCATAATTCTTTTTATTTGAATTTTTAATATTATATACAAAAATTGGAAATTTATTAAAATAAATAAAAAATAGCTGAAAATTAACATCTTTTATAAGTTTTCAAAAATAATAGATTAATGTTAATGTTTAATTTATTAAACTTAGGATAATTATAACTTAATATTAGAAAGTAATATGTAAAAAATAACTAAATTACTATAAAATAAATCATATTACAATTAACCTTAAATTTATAATAATTTAGATGAGTAAAACAACTTTAAAAAATATAAAAACAATAAACATAAAAATATGTTTAAGGAAAAATAATATATGTATAATTTAGAAAATGATTTATTTATTATAAAATCTGTATTTTTAACAATTCTTAATCTTAGATTCTAAGTCTTTAACTCTTACTTTTGAATTATTACTATTATTTTTGTTATTTGTAAGAATAATTTTCTATTCTATTTATATAAAATTACAATCATAAAAAGATCACTAATTAATATTATTTAATATAATAATTTATAACATTAAATTAAATAAATAATATACAAGTTTTATAAAATATAATTTAACTATGATAAAATATAAATAAATAATAATATAAATATAGATAATATATAAGATATATATAAATAAAATAAGAATATTAATAATATTAAATTTTATTAATCCTTATAATGTAGTAAAATTGATTTTATTAAATATTAATAATTATCTAATTTAAATTTTTATAATTCAGAAAATTTTGTTTTAATTGAAAAATTTTTTTATATAAATTAGTCAATACAGCACTTATTATTTTTTTAATATCACTTAATATATCATTTATAGATAATTATAAATTATTTTTGTTATCTTTAATAATTTTAATTGAAACTGACTTTTATTAAGTTTAATAATAAGATATATTAAGACGAATTGAATAAAATTCTTCAACATTTTTTTATTAATAATTTTTATAACATTTTAAGTTATAAATTTATGTTAAAAAACATTCAATTTATTTTTATAAATAGTATTTTTATTAATTAGATTAATAACTAAATATTCTTTTATATTTTATTAAATTAATATTTAATAGTTTACTGATACAAATCTACTTAAAATATGATAAATTAATATTATTTTATAATTTAATATTTTTTTTTGTTAAAATAATATTGAATATTTTAAAAACTTGCTAAAATAAAGTTATTTATAAAGAGGATTTTATTTATATTTGTTATAATAAATAAATTTAATATTTATAACTATTTTTAATAAATTTATTTGATATAATTTATCGATAATTTATTTCTGATTTACTTTAAATCTTATATTAATTTATAATAATTATACTTATATATAATTACTATTTTTTAAGAAACTGATTATGTAATTATATAAAAATCTGACTATACTTTTATCTATTTTCTATATATTATAATATTAAATTTTAAATTTAATTATTATTTTTAATTTAAAGATATATTTATAATAATTAATTATTAATATAAATATCAATATATATATATAATAAAATTATTATGATTTAATATAAAAATTTAAGCAGTTTATAATATATAACATATTATAAATTGTATCATATTAATCTATTATTTACATGAACTTTTATAATTAGATATTTTCTAATATATTATTTGATTGATTTCTAATATAAGATGTAATATTTTTATTATTAAATTTTTAGGTTTTATTTCTGATATTAAATTAAGTTTAATTATTAGTTTTTAATTTAATTTAATTGTTTTATTATAATCTTTATATTAACAATCTTTAATTTAATTTTAGTAATTTTTATTTTATGATTTTTTTAGTTTGATTAAATACATTCTAATCATTTAAAAAAATTCTAAATAAATTTTTCTTATTTTAAAAAATCAGAATGTATTTTTAATCAAAAATTTTAGTGAAAACAATTATCTAAATTATATAATTTTATTTTGTAAACTTAATTCATGAAATTTTAGTATAATAAACTTTTAAAATTATTTTAAAAAAAATGTTTATTTTAATTTTTCTTTTAGTTAGTATTTAGAGTAAAGGTTTTTTTTTAGTAAAGGTAATTTTTATAATATTTCTTTTAATAATTTTTTTTTTTTAGTTTATTATATTAAATTTTTTAGATATTTTATAAATTATTTTTCTTGTTATTAATTATGAATAAAGTTAAAATATTGCTTTATAATTAAATTATTACGTAAACTTTAAAATATCAAACTGCTGCAATTTGCTAGCAAAAACAGTAGATTTTAATCAATAAACTTATTTATAGAGAAAAATATTAATAATTAGTTGATATTTAATATTTTTATTGATACTTTTAATCGCAAAAATACTTTTCTTTTATAATTTTGAATTAAATTCATTTTGCTAATTTAGATTTCAATATTATAGTTAATAATATAAGAATATACTTATTCATTGTTTCATTATTTTCTTAATTTCATCCTTTAAATATAGATATAACCAAATAAATAATGTATGAATAGTAATATTTAAATAATTTTTGTGATATAACATTATCAACGTTGTTGTGACGGTGGAAGTGGTTGTGGTTGAATACTACTTTGATCTGGTGGTAAATCAGGCATAGGAACTTGAGGTGGTCCCTTTAAAAAAAAAATCATGAATTAGTTAGTTAATTAATTAAACGATAAATAAATCATGAAATTCTTAATTTTATTACTTGAGTTATAATATCCCAAATCGTTACTTTTTCCTTTTTCATGCTCTCTTGAAGCTGTTTCTCCAGATTCTCCATACTATTTTGGTACATTTGATGTATCTCTGGTTTACGTCGTTTATAATCCAAATATGAATTGTTGATATCATTATTAATTAATTGGATTTGCATCAATTTTTGTTCATAAGGAGGTATTTGTTCTTGCTATTAAAGAAAAAACTAATTAAAATCTTTTTGCGAAAAAAAAAGGTAAATGAAATAAATAGATCAGGAATCTTCACATACAATTTGACTGCTACCAAAGGCTGAAGCCCAACCTGCCAATCCTTTTTTCGGTTGTTTAACTTTTTTTTCCCATTCTAATCGTTGTTGTTCTTTCCATTGTTCTTCCCACTCAGCATAATGACTTGGAATATCTTTGTCTTTATATTGTGGCAACACTTGACGAACATCATTCACATAAAATATTGTGAAATCTATAAAGTTGAATTTTAGTAAAACATTAGTATATCGCTAAAAAAAAAAAAAAAATTTAAAAATAAATAATATGGTATACATACGTTCAAGGAATGGTATGATATCTATCAAGAAACTATCATTAGGATCTCCTTTCCACGGGGGTACGGCAATTGCATTCTCGGGTTGCAATGAATAAGCATCGGGATTAGAGTCCATAATAATAACTTTTGAAAGATCACGATTCAGTTTTGAAAGATCCTATATAAATAAAATAACGAGTAAATTAATATTGTCATCATCACGTAAAAACAATTTAATTTATACGAACCTTGACTATTTTTCCATCAACATATCTTGTCGATTCTCTATAAAGTCTATAAGGGACAATACCAAACGGATCAAGTTTCATTAAAATTTGTTCAGCAAACTATAAAATAAAATTATTGATATCAAGTAATATTATTCTTAAAATTCTTTGAAGTAAATAACTAAAATCTTTTTCTAAATGAAACGCGTTAGACTTACATTGAAAGGTTGAGATGTGAAAATAACTACTTCGAAAAGTTGTGCCACGAAATACAGAAAATATTCTACTCCAGGTCTTTTTGCCGTTCGCCAACCATTTTCTCTCTAAATATTTTATAAAGTTGAAATTTGTGAATTAATTTAAAATAAGATGACATTTGCACATACTCACATCCCAAGTTGAATAAATAAGAGTTTGGTCCAAATTAATTACTAACGTATATGGAGAAGGTGGTGGTAAAGAATCTTGATCCGGCAATAGCTTATCCGATGATGGTTCCGTGAAAAACTAAGAAATAAATTTTAATAATTTTAATAACTTTGAAATCGATACAAATATCACTTAAACACTTACGTGAAAAAGATCCTTGGTGCGAGCCTCCACTCGTTTGTACCACGCCGTGAAAGTATCTAAATCTTTATACTATAAAACATAGCAAGAATTTAATTTGTATAATTAAATTTCGTAGTTTAATAAATAAAAAAAATCTCTTACTTTAGTTTCTCGATCAGATTCGAATGGACGCCCTGAATCAAATCATAGATTGAATTTAGCGTACTATCAATAATCAATCACAATGATTTGTGAGATTCCTTATAATTATGTCAATTAGATACAAGAAATTTTGTTAAAAATAATTTATACGACTCACCAGAGTATATGATAAATCCTACTCCCCAGATACCACTTGCATACCCTAATATCTTAACTATTCTTTTGGCTTCAGGGCTCATTGTATCAACATTAGAGCTCTTTGGTTTGCTTCGGGAATCTTTTATTTTTTTTGGTAAGTTTACGGTGGTAGAAGTTGGAGGAGGAGGAGGAGGAGGAGGAGAAATTGTTGAAGTTTGGCTGCGAACAAAACTCAATTTTGGTGTAAGGCGACTTTTCAATGGTCTCAAATTAAGTGTTCGAAAACTAGTCAAGCGAAAGTTTTCAACCCTTAATATATACGAAAAAGTTGGTAATGTAGTAAAAGTATGTTGACAATTTCGTGATAATACTTTTGGCGAATTCCATTTTATAATAGAACTTTTAGATTGGAATAGAAAGGAACAATCGCGACGAGTCAAATCTGAAAGAATATTATGAGATCTTAATTTTGATAAGGAAGAAGTCATTTTTAAGTGATCGAGGAAAAAAAAAAGATTAAAAATTATACGAATCTCGTATAATTATGATTGGCTGATTGAAATAATCGTGGATTTTATCAAAAACTTGTGCCACATACGTTGGTTAAAACGATTCATTCCTAAAAGTACCGCCACATACGTTGATTAAAAGTTTCATTCCTCTCTTAAAAAAATAAAAATTGGTTTTAATAGTAAATGGAGGACGATTTCTTTTTCATGAACACACCTAACACATCTCAATCATCATCACCTTTCCCAACTTTCGGTGCAAGTTACATTCGTAATTGGCAGGTGGAAGGAGCATGTGCTCAACTAAATTTAACAAAAATTCAATTTAACGAATTCAAAGAACATGCCGATGATTGTATTAAACCTCCAAATAGCACAATCGGTAAATGCGCACCCCCTAAATTTCGGTATAGATATCTAAAAGAAAGTATCGTTTTATATCTTTTATATAATGGGCAACTTTTTATACCGTTGGAAGCTTTAAGTGGCATTCAAAAAGTAAAAAGCAGGGAAATAAAATTGATATTGAAAGAAGGCGAAAAAGGTTTAATCGAATATAAGTTGAATAACAGTTATAGTAATGGCAAGAAACTTGTGATTAAAGAGAATTTACGAGAAGCGCAATTTATCTTTTTGAGGTTTCATAAAGATGTCTCCACAAAAGAGATTGATATAGTAGGTTTACATATTGATTATCTTATCAACAAAAAAACCAACTCGAGAATTCCGGAAGGCGAAATCGTACCACGTTCAAGTTGGGGAAGCAGTTGGGGATTAATCCATAATGACATGAATGAAAGCTTTATCAAATCCAATAATGAAATGGTAATCAAATTTCATATTAATGACGAAATTCGAATTTTTCTTTTTGATGGACATTCTCAATATCAAGAAATCAAAGAATATATTGAAAAGGTTTTCTGTTTGGCAACCATCCAGAAATTGAAATATAAAGATGATGATGGTGAGTTTATTATAATGTCTAGTCAAGAAGAATTTAACACAGCTTTTACTTTGTATTCAAAGAGTAATAAGTTAGAAATTTGGTATGCAAATTAAATCAATGAAAGAAAACTTATTTGAGGAATAAAATGAAAAGTAAAAGACAAAGCGAAGACAATCGCTTATTTATAAATTTGTTGCTATTATACTGTACTTTTGGGTGTGCATTGAATTTTTTGATAATCGCTTTTTGACCTACCATTCTAGACTATCCTCATTGTATCAATTGTGCCAATGTACCATTACCAGATTTGTAATAATACATAAATCTTGACGCGAAAATTCAAGAAATTCCTTTTGTATAAAACTCAAAAGAATATCCACCCTTATGCAAATCAATAAATTAAGTTTTGCCTATCTTTCCTTTTTTCTGTGTAAGACTCGATCAATACACGCTGGAACTAAATTCATGAGACGGCAGTTAACCCATGATAAATCTTTCGAGGGTAAAAGCGGTATGACCTTTAATGTGCAAACGGAATCGTCTTCTGGTGACAGCTGTCTCGAGGAAGAAGAGCGGGATTTAACATTTTACCTGAAGACGTGAGTTCTTTTTTTTTACTTTTGCATAAATCTTACATTTTAGCATGAATCGATTTTAACTTGCTGCTTACATTTTTAGTAAGGCAGAACAACCGTTTAGGTATTATCTATGCTTTGATGTTGAAGCAACATGTATAAGTGGAGGAGGATTTGATTATATGAATGAGATAATAGAATTTCCAATTCTTTTGGTTGATAGCAAGTCATTTGACATTGTAAGTTAGTTTGAAGGTTAGGTTTATTCGAAAGATACATTTTAACCATTGGTATATTTATATATTTAGGTTGATGTATTTCATTCATACGTTAAGCCAAGTAAAAATCCGATATTGTCTGATTTCTGTAAAGAATTGACCGGAATATCTCAGGTAAAGTTTTAGACCTTAAAAAATGTACTACTTTATCAATAGATTTTAACGTTTTTTGTTTCTGGGATTAATAGTCAACGATAGATGTAAGTCCAATATTTCCTGAGATGTTGGATCAATTTCAAGAATTTCTGCACCGGCATAAACTCTTTTACGAAAACTCCTGTGCTTTTATCACCGATGGTACGTGTTAGATTTTTTTTTTTATAAACGGTTACTACGAACAAAATATTTATAGTAACTTTATTTGTATTTTAGGTCCATGGGACATACGCGATTTCATCACAAAACAATGTTCGATTTCTAAAATTGCTAGACCTACATATTTTTCTCTTCCTTGGGTAGACATTCGAACACTTTATTCAGAATTTTATAACCATGGAAAATGTAATATAGTTCGTATGCTAGCAACTTATGGCCTGCAATTTGAAGGACATGAACATTCAGGAATTGATGATGCAAAAAATTTAGTTAGAATTGCTAAGAAAATGTGGGAAGATGGTGCAATTTTTAAAACCAATAGTTATTTACAAACGCCTATTCACAGATCAAGAAGACGTAGAAGAGGAAGGGGATGTAATAAAGTCATATAAGTTTTGCCTGATCAATTACAGTATTTATATATTGGGTTATTTTATTTTTTTTGTTAAAAAAAAAAATTTTATTTTCACTTATTAATTACAGCTTCATAGATCATTTGATAAGATTATTTTATGAAAAATACTTAACACTAGAATTTAAGATTATATGAAAGGTATAATGAAAAAGTTGTAATTTGATATTTTAATTCTAAAATATTATTAATATCATGTTATTTTTAGTCTCTTTTTTCATTTCTTCTCTTATTTCCTTTTTTAAGCAATTTCTTAATTGAATTTCTTTTGTATCATTTGCAAATTCAATAAGATCCCAAATAAGTTCATGACGAAATTACTTTTGTTCATATGCTGATTCCAACATTCAGATGATTAAATAAGCAATAAAAATACGTTATCTAACAACAAAAAAAGAAGCATCCAATTCCTTCATATTGTTTATTATGTATTATAGTAGGATTTTAATTGATCAGCAAAATTTATTCCATTCATGCAGTAGTTATAATCATTAATTACCTTAGGGATTAATAATTTTTTTTTTGATTAAAGCCAAATATTGCACATATTTTAAGGAGAAAGAGAGAAAGGAAAGAAAGAGAAAAAAAAGAAAAAAAAGAAAAAGAAAGGAAAAGAAGAAAAGAAGAAGAAAAAAAAAAAAAAAAGTGAAAAAAAAGAAAAGAAAAAATAAATTAATTTAATAAAAAAGTAAATAAAAAAAAAAAAAATAAAAAAAAATTATATAAATAAGCCATGAAAAATACATACTTTTATTATATTAATATTAGATTTTTTAGACATTATCTTTCTTAATCTACTTTTTATAAAATTATGAATCATTGATAATATTATTTTTTAAATTATAGAGCAGGCAAATTTGCTTATAAATATAAAAAAAAAAAGTATTAATTTTTTAATAAAAAATAAAATATTAATGTTAATAATATAATTATTATATAAAAATATAGTTTAATATATATTTTATCAACTTTATTAGAAGAAATTTAAGTTTATTAAGAAGTTTTTTAAATAATT